TACTGTAATAATTTTATCATATTACAGTTAAAAAAATTCTTAGATGGTAGGAATAAGAGTACTAATATTGTCAGAGACTTAAATATGGAAATAGGGTATTAATCAGGTTTCGTGTAAATTGCAGAATGTAGGCTATCGCGTGAGATTAGAAGCTATCTCTCATTATAAAAGCACTGTATCAGAAAAGAACATTCTCTTAAGTAGTTTTTGCCTACATGTAAGGATTTTGTACTATTGTTTTCTAATAAGCCATCTGTCATTCAATGAAAAGTCCTAGATCTGAGAAGTGAGGGGATCGGGAGGAACCAAAGCACTTGAGGATGTTCAAACGATACCTGCATTTATCTCTGAGGTACCTCAGAGGTATTGGAGCAGAGATTTTGCAGAATTCCTACTGAAAATTGGGTCCTTGTTTTCTGCAGAAACACAGGCTGTACATTCTCAGCTTAAGGCAATATTTTCTCTTGTCTTGAACTTTGGATCCTCCTTTTATCTCATTTGTCTCATCCACCTTGGCCTCTAAAATGCCACCACCTTTGTAGTCTCCCTAAATTGTCTGAGATAAGGGATGCTGGGCAGGGCAGAAGCTGCTTCAGCTTGGTGAGGGATGACCACAAGTATAGGCTCTCTGCAGGAGGTGAACTACTATCAGCAGTTAAAGGTGGTTTTCAGTACCTCACTCATGCTAGTCATCTGGAATGCAAGAATAACTCCCTCATAAAGTTGAGTATCTTCAACTGGATGGTTTTCCAAGAGTTAAAGGTAGTTAATGAGATTTTGCAGAATTTCTACTGAAAATTGGGTCCTTGTTTTCTGCAGAAACACAGGCTGTACATTCTCAGCTTAAGGCAATATTTTCTCTTGCCTTGAACTTTGGATCCTCCTTTTATCTCATTTGTCCACCTTGGCCTCTAAAATGCCACCACCTTTGTTGTCTCCCTAGAATGAAGCCCTAAATTGTCTGAGATGAGGGATGCTGGGCAGGGTAGAAGCTGCTTCAGCTTGGTGAGGGATGACCACAAGTATAGGCTCTCTGCAGGAGGTGAACTACTATCAGCAGTTAAAGGTGGTTTTCAGTACCTCACTCATGCTAGTCATCTGGAATGCAAGAATAACTCCCTCATAAAGTTGAGTATCTTCAACTGGATGGTTTTCCAAGAGTTAAAGGTAGTTAATTGTTCCCTAGTTAATCCCCTAATACTTTCAGGTATTGCTGCTTCTCAGTTCTCCACTGTGGAGGAACTGAGCTCTAGCCTTCTTGCCTGAAAATGTTTAGATAAGCATGCCTTCTCCAGTGCTTTTTAACTCCCTCTGACCTTTTTTGCACAACTTTTCTTTGAGACAAGTAGACTTTGAGGAATCATGTGCAGATCAGTGGCTCTCCAGGGGAATTACAAGAGTACCCAGAAAAGAAACACAGGCTGTACATTCTCAGCTTAAGGCAATATTTTCTCTTGTCTTGAACTTTGGATCCTCCTTTTATCTCATTTGTCTCATCCACCTTGGCCTCTAAAATGCCACCACCTTTGTAGTCTCCCTAAATTGTCTGAGATAAGGGATGCTGGGCAGGGCAGAAGCTGCTTCAGCTTGGTGAGGGATGACCACAAGTATAGGCTCTCTGCAGGAGGTGAACTACTATCAGCAGTTAAAGGTGGTTTTCAGTACCTCACTCATGCTAGTCATCTGGAATGCAAGAATAACTCCCTCATAAAGTTGAGTATCTTCAACTGGATGGTTTTCCAAGAGTTAAAGGTAGTTAATTGTTCCCTAGTTAATCCCCTAATACTTTCAGGTATTGCTGCTTCTCAGTTCTCCACTGTGGAGGAACTGAGCTCTAGCCTTCTTGCCTGAAAATGTTTAGATAAGCATGCCTTCTCCAGTGCTTTTTAACTCCCTCTGACCTTTTTTGCACAACTTTTCTTTGAGACAAGTAGACTTTGAGGAATCATGTGCAGATCAGTGGCTCTCCAGGGGAATTACAAGAGTACCCAGAAATACTTGCTTTCATTATCACTGCCTTGGCAGTACTGCTAAAGTATGTCCTCACAGGGTGCCAGTTCTAAGTAAAAGTTCATTTTTTTTTCTGACACCCCAGATCAACAGCTTCCCAGGTTTAATGAAGTATTTTGAAATCCTCTAAAAATGTGTTGTATACCATTTGCTTTGAAGGAAAAAATCTATTAGAGTTTTGAACAGTCTGGTGGAAAAAATGGTTTTTTTTCCCATCTCTGAATACAACTAGTAATCTGTAGATAGACAAGCTGAAGGATCATTTTTGACTACGCTTTGTATTTTTTTTTTTTGCAGATCTGCTGTCCAAACCAGTATGCTGTGTTATGCCAATCTACTTACTTGTCAGTGCAGCAGACAGCTGTAGTTGAATACAAGGCTTTTTTGTTCCACCATACCCCTCACTTCTCAGGTTTTATTCTGTATCTTCAAGCAGAAGACAGGTTGCTGCCAGTCTCTGTGCTTTTATTTAATTTGGGCAGAGACTATATAAGACTTTCAGATAACCGAAAGCAGTAGGGGGAAGACCATAAAATTTACCACGTGCTTGGCCTCGTTGGAACCAAGAAATGTTGTATTTTTTTCTCCTCATTGCAACAAAGATCCCATGTGTTCTGGAGGTGCATTAGCAGAGGCATTCAGCCAAGCAGTCAGTGACAGAGAGGATAACAAATAGACTCACCTTTTGAAGGCTCCAGCAGGAGGTAAGCAAACTGGAATCAGACCTATCTTTCTTTGCTATGTATTTTGAAGTTTGTATTCAAGAGTAGGTATTTCTTCATATTCTAGTTACTAGCGCTCATTTCTCTGAAGTAAAGCAAGGATTATATTTCCCAATGAATTCTTTAAAATGTTATATATCAGAGTGGAATCTCTTCCACAGAGAATGTTTTTGGACTCTTGCACCTAATAACAACTTGATGTTATTTTTCCATAATTATAGCAAGTGCTGGGTTCTAAGAAATTCATGAAAACACAGAGGGTAGTTACACCAGGTAGGCACAACAGGAATTCCACTGCAGAAGCTTTTCAATGTTTAAAAGAATCCATTCATTGGAAGACATGTTGAATAAATTAACTTAAAATGTTGAACTTTTAAAAACTATTAATTTTTTTAGACATTTAACATGATTGTTTTACCTCAACATAATACAATAAATGGGATAAATTTTGTAATGTTTTGAAATGATGTAGTGGTTTGTAGTGGTATTTATCTAGTGATATCATGCCTTAATTCTTAAGATTGAGTCAACTCACGTAGAAGGTTTGTCTGTGCACCCAATAGATATATTTTCATACCACTATATAAACTGGTGAAGAAATGTATGCTCTAAAGGTCTTATTGGTCCTACAAGTAGGCTAACATATGTTAGATTATGTTTATAGGTTGTAAAGTTATAAATTAGTCTAAGGATTTAGGTCTGGGTAACTATGTAGGGAAAAAATAAAGTAGTAAGTAAAACTACACTAAATCCATGTCAGAAATAATCAGGTGATACCCCATTAGTTAATCCATTCCATGGTCAGTCTTTTCTGAATTTGGACTATTTGTTGACTCAACCCGTGAGAAATTGACCTCTGAGGTCATGTTCTGCAGCTCTGTTGAATAGTACTCTAACTTGATTGTTAACTTGATTAGAGTTGTAACTCTAACTAACTAACTTGATTGTTAGAAATGCAGGGAATGATACGATCATTACAATCAGATGGATCAATCAATCGATCAATGTAATCAACAATATAATCAGATGAAATTAGTGAAATTTGCATGGTCATCATATTTTCAAAATCAAGCATCTGCTTTAAGAGTCACAGCTTGCATGTGGAGGGCAATTTTCTGTTTTTCCTACCACCCACTGAACTCCTGATGTCCTTCAAGTATTGCGGCAACAAAGGGCACAGACTCCTCCAAGTGGTGAAACGAAGACGAAGACCTTTAATATTTCATTTTTACAGCACATATAGTTTCTATCCTTTGATCACGAGCCGTGCTCTCTACAGACATAGGTTGTGGGTGAATGTCTACGCACCGTTGTGAGCAATTGGCTACATACAAGTGTTCACACATCTAGGCTAACCAAACATTACTATCTGCTTCGATACACTGTTATCTGCTTTTCTGCCTTGTTATCTGTTTTCACACTGCCTTGCTAGATTTCATACCACACAAATAATACCATATAAAGACATTGTTTTACTGTTCCCAAGGCTTCCTTCCCGTCAATGCAAGAACACCCACCCAGCTCTCGCTCAGCAGCGCATCTCCAACTTCCTCATTCTCCACAAAGCATGGTACTTTTCAGCTACATAACAATGTGAAAATACTTATACTAGTGATAGCAAGTGAAAAAAATTAGGCAGAAGTTGAATCTGAAATTTTCTTTAATTTCTCCATAGTTCATTAAAATTTAGGCAGAAGTTGAATTGGAAATTTTCTTTAATTTCTCCATAGTTCATTCTTATCAATGTATGGAGTCTCCTTTCCTGTCATTCCTGCAGTCGTTAACGCATTGATCAAAACATATTTGTCTTGTATTGTAATTCCTTCTTTAATATTGTAGACTTTAAAATTATTTGGTTAAAAACTTTAAAAGCTTTTGTTGGAGGAGTTTGTATTCGATACTTATTAAACATCATGTATTCTATTCAAGTAAAGTCTTTTTAATTTTTGTCTCATAGGTATACAGTGTGTTTGGGTAGTGTGAAAATGGTTGCACACAATCACAATCATTTTCACACTACTCAAACTTGAAGGCTTACAGGACATTTCGTGGAATTGTGTATTTAAAACTGTAAGATGTTACAGGCCAAATTTCTTAGATCAGTGGAATCTTGAAATACACTAGGGCTTATTTGGTAGTCATATTTCTGAATGTAAGGCATTAATTTCTTTAATACATCCTATAGCTTTTTAAAAAAACAAAATTGTTGTTGTTGGAAAAAAATAATAGTGTGATGTTTGTAAAATGTGTTTCCCATCCATGACTAAGGGTGGAAGTTCTGCCATGAAGCTACTTGAACAGGAGGTGAGCAACTTAAAGAAAGTGAACCATGATCTTCTAATACACTTGGAAGAGATGCTTGAGATACCAAAGGTAAGATTTTATTAATTGCTGCACTAGTGTTGGTAGGCTGGAAAACCAACAAAAAGAAGAACTGTCTCTGTTCCATGGTAACTCATTATATATTTTATTTAACAGTTTTGTAATTTTACACAAATTCTACAGCTCTTGACTGAAAATTTGTGGACATATTTGTATATTATTTGCCTCTAAATTCCTGCTAAGCCAATGTCTGCAATATAAATAGCAGTTCAACAGAGGACAAAACAATTTATGTCAAAGGAAATACCTGACTAAGCCAACTTTGTTTGCCAGTCTCTGATAGCTAGAGACAATTATTACAGCCTGGGTTTTCATTTCTGCCTTCTTCCAATTCTCATATCTTCTCCTTCTCCCCCTCCCCCCCTTCCCTATTCTATTAAGAAATAGTGCAACAGTAATTAAATACAGTCACCATGAAAATTACAGGGTTGTTTCTTTACTCTGTCTTGTCTGTAATATAAACTAGCAGTTCAACAGAGGACAAAACAGTTTATGTCAAAGGAAATACCTGACTAAGCCAGCTTTGTTTGCCAGTCTCTGATAGCTAGAGACAATTGTTACAGCCGGGGTTTTCATTTCTTCCTTCTTCCAATTCTCATATCTTCTCCTCCTCCCCCGCCCCCCCTTCCCTATTCTATTAAGAAATATTGCAACAATAATTAAATACAGTCACCATGAAAATTACAGGGTTGTTTCTTTACTCTGTCTGTTTGCTGTAGTGCTCTATAAGGAAGGTGGTCCTCTTGCATGTCTGTATCATTTCTAATGAGGGGAAACATCAGATTATAAGTAGTCTTTCCATTGTTTATAGATATCTGTTGCTTCAGTAAATTGTTGTAAAGCCAAAGAATGGTGGAAATCTTATATTTTAGGTTAAATTACTACCATTCTATCTTTAACTTACTATTACTTATTGGAAAGGTGTTCATACTGAGCTGAACAGAAAAGTTCCCAGGACTTGATAATGACAACACAATATAAATATTGCAGTAAAACATGTAAAAAAGTGTTTGTTTTAAGTTTTGGGGATTTTTTTGGTGTATTGGTCAGAAGTATCATTTGAGTAATGTATTATAGTTTTCACTCCTACGTGCTGAAAAGTTTCATTTTATATTTTTTCAAATGTTGGTACTTTCTTAGGCTTTCTGTAAAAGTCATGATGATGCATTGAATGGAAAAGGCTGTAAACCAAATCCATACTTGTTTTGAAAACATAGTATTTTTATACATTTTTTAAATGTACATGTTTTGAAAGCTTGAGAATTTCTTGTAGTAAGCAGTTGGCAATATTTGTGGCAGGTCAATTGTCTTTTATCTCCTGTTCATAGAATACTAAGTACATTGTGGTTCTAGGTCATCACTGCAGCTGGAGCACTGCTATTAATTATATATATTGTTATTACATTAAAAGAAACAAAACTCAGAAATAACAAAATCATTACATTCTGTCTTTATTAATGTTAGCAGATATATCTTGTAATGGAGCTGTGTGAGGATGGAGAACTAAAAAATTCTTTGTAGTAAAGGATGTTTTACAGAAAATGAGACAAGGCACATCATTCAGAATCTTGCTTCAGCAATAGCGTATCTTCACAGAAAGGATAATTAAGTTCCTCTGTCTCTCCCATATGTTCATTGATTTTGAGTGTTCATATATTTAACAACAGTTACTGATTGTTATTCTTATCTGTTATTTATTTCATAGTATAAAGATAGTCTGGTAAAGAAAAAGAAAAATATACTACATTAATGCTTTTCTAGAACTTTATTTTTCTTACATATGCAGTAACTGCTACCATTTTTCTTTTATTTCTCTTTCTGTACCAGCTATCAATAATTACATGTATTATTGTTTCCTAACTCACAACTGCTTTGCATTATAACATTAACTTAGTTTAGTTGTTAAATGCACAGTCTATTACAGGAGGCAAAAAAGCAAAATGGGATTGTTTCTGATACTTCTCAACAGTATGCGTCGCATTTAGGGTTCGGTAAAAATCTGCATTTTCATCCACTGCACAGAAGCATTCCAAATCTGCACAGTACTAACAGAGTTAACCTGTCCAGCCAAAAATTTAGAACTGGTAGGTAGTGTAGGATTGTGAATAATTCTGGAGCTTTATACACAGAAATTATGAATCTTTCTGTTACAGCACACTATTATTAGAAATCCTGCATTTTTTTTTACCTTCAGTTTTTTCCATGGAGAAAGAGGGGGTTATGGAATGGTATCTTGTCTAAACAAGCCTTGTTTCTTCTGTGTGCTCATTGGAATGGCAGAAACTTCTACTGGTTTTGCACATGAGAATGAACTGCAGGTATGAAAATATGTGCAAATTTGATAAATATACAATATAAACACTACTTTTTTGTTAGATTACGTCAGCTGATCTACTGATATTAAGGACTGAACCAACATGAACTTTTTCCTTTATTACAGGACTATGGGAAGCAATGAAATTTGAAAATTTGAAATACTTATATGACTCCCTGGATGAAATGGGAAAGATGCTTTTGGTTAGGCTTCCAGTAGCTCAGAGTAAAATGCACTGGAACTGATCAAAGAAATTACTCAAATGAAAGAATTTAAAACATTTCTGTCAGAATGTCTTCACTGCAACTGATAACATATTATTTCTTTATCTCTCTCAGCAGATATTTTTCACAGAGATCTAAAACTGGAAAACATTTTAGTTAAAAGCAGTGACATCAATGAAGCAAATGAAATGAAATTAAATATAAAGGTAAGATGACAATTGTAGCAGTTCTGCTTCAAGAACTGGTTTTAATATCCAGGTATTACTGGGAGACCTGTTTTTGATTCCTATTAGCAGCTTTTGAAATGAGCTACTAAATGGTGTTATTAGGGGAAGAAGGAATCATCTTGGAAGCTAAGTGCTACTGTTGAAAAAGGCTTCTATTTAAAAAAAAAGGTAAGTATATTTCCAGATCAATTAAAAAAAAAAAAAATCCTTAAAGTAACCATACTGTGTTCATCTATATCTACACTAGTATAGTCCCAAGCCATCAGTTTCCTTAAAGTAACCGTACCGTGTTCGTCTGTGTCTACACTAGTATAGTCCCAAGCCATCAGTTACAGGAAGCCAGCAGATGCTGTAAGATGTAATTAATTTTTAAATTAAGAATATTGTTGATTTAATATAAATCTGTATGGAAGATGCTGTGAATAGGTTTTTTTTGTTTTGTATTGTTTTTTGGCTGGGTTTTTTGGTGTTTTTTTTTTTTTAAATCATGTTGCATTTTGAATGTCAGAATTCCTCGTGTCAGAACCCCTCATGGTTTTGTCACTTGGAGCAGGGAAGAAAGAATTGAGTTTAGGTAATGACAGCCTAATCTATAACACCCAAAATGCCTGCGAGGGGCTACTAGAGCATAGGAGCTGCTACCCTCCCCCTGCCATTTTTCCCCATTAAGAAGAGTGGCTAAATTGTAATATCCTGGAAATACTAAATTTGTGACAAAACCTCACTTATTTCACCATCATGTACAGTGTGACTCTAATATTTTGAGTCAACTTTTCTTAGTTCCAGGGCTTTGATATTGTGCTGCTTATGGCATTACAGTTTTTTGAAAGACACAGACTTTTAGCTTTGTCTCCTTACAGGTAACTTTTAAGGCAACGATAATGTGGTCCTATTTCATTTCATTTCATTTCATTTCATTTCATTTCATTTCATTTCATTTCATTTCATTTTCATTTCACTAATATCTCAAATAGGTGGTGATAATGTGGTCCTATTTCATTTCATTTTCATTTCATTAATATCTCAAATAGGTGGTGCTTAAAGGGCTTCACTAATATCTCAAATAGGTGGTGCTTAAAGGGCTGAGGAGACAAAATGCAATAATCTTACTCCTTCCCAATATTTTAACTAATGTAAACTTAAGGAAGTAATTTTCACTTGTAGAGACCAGTAAAATCAAAAGGTGCAGCTAAGGTTTTTTTGTTTTAACAAAAACCCAACAAACCGACCCCTCAAAAACGCCTCAAACACCGCTCATCTTTGCAGTTAAAACTTTGCCCACTGTAAAGATTTTTTTGTGGGTTAGGAGAGGGTGGACACACAAATGTTGGTTCAAGCGAATACCAGGATAATATACAAGAGAAAAAAGTTTAGAAAAGAGTTTCTAAATGTGAGTGTATTCTCACTGTCTCTCAGGTTGCTCACTCTATTTCCATACCGAATAAAATTAGTTTAGTTAATCTTACACAAAAGCAAAAGTAACACTCCCTGTTTTTAGTTAAGATTTTCTAAGGTTTTCATTACCTTTTGGTTGAATGTTGGAGCTGGTGGTGTACTCTGATGCCTGGTTCAGAACAGCAGAACAACAAACAGAAAACTGCCTCCAGGAGGTGAAATTTTCGCTTTGTATCTTCTTTTTCTTAAAGACCAACTTGAGACACAGTAGAATCTGTATCAGTGTATGGATGGATCAGCAAAAATGCCAAAGCTGCTGACTCACTGATTGGCTGGCCCTAAAATGCTACCCTGAGGATGGTGGTGGGTGAAGATCTGCTGCTCAGTTGGGTTTGAGCCATGCCGAAGTTCATCTCTTTCTGGTGGAGATGATGAAGGCACATTTCCAGCCATTTTTCTGTCTTGCTGCTACATGTTCCAACAGCTGTGAGGAGGAATGGACCCACTGAGAGCACGCTGTAGCTGTCAGCTGGGGAGTTGTCCATGTTCATGTGAGAGTCTAGGTTCTCATTTAGGTTCTTAACAAGCACCACTCTGATTTATCAGCAACTTGGTTTTGTTTATCTTCACCTTCTAACTTCTGTTTCTGTTCCTCCTTGTCCACAGCAGTGTAGCCTCTCCACCATCAGTCTGCTGTAGTTTGGCTTCCCAACCTGCTTCATTCACAGAGAACGTAAAGTGGTCAGCAGGGATTTGCCCTATGCCGTTGGACTTAGTTAAGTGTGAGTTTGAATGTCAAGGAAAAAAAAAGCACTATATAAAAAAAATAATGCTTAGGTAGTGGAACAAATTGCTCATCAAAGTAATTACAGGACAATCCATTAGTGGTATTCTGAATTTCAGTTAGAATTTATTCTCCTTATTTTGAGTTCTGCTATAAGGAAATGAAGCTAAGGTACATGCCTTGCAAGGTCAGATTTTTTCCTACAGAAAAATATCATTTCTTCAGCTACTTGTAGCTTTTGTTGGAAGGGTATGGAATCACCATTTTAATTTGAATGCTCCCTCTACCAAACAACATTGGGATGACCTAAGATCTCTTGGAAATAATTATATTTCATTGTGCTGTTATTCAATCAGCCTTCACAGTTCTTTTGAGACGTAGGTAAGCAAAACAGCTGCATAGGTTCTTTACCTCCCATTTTCAGGCACAGGTGATGGGTAGTGCTTTTTTGGAAAGGTTTCTTTTAATAGTCTTGGGCTTTATCATCTGTCTCTAAATGGCTCAGTGGAGTCAAGATAAATGGGGCTCTGAAGAAAACAAGCATAGAGACAAAGAGTGAAGATAAATGGGGCTCTGAAGAAAACAAGCAATGATTTCTTTTAAATCAGCTCTGGAATATGTTTGCCTACACATGTTCCTTCTTTCTCTTGCTATTGTGGAAGTTCAAAAGCTGAAATTCTTCACTGGTTGAGAATTTGAATAGTATTTAATGTTATGTCATCCTTTAAGCCTGCCTTGGAAGGTTCATGGGTACTTAAAGCCTAGACAAAGTTGGCAGGTGACATTGTTGACCAAAGAATCCGAAATCAAGTGCCGGTGGTTTTTGCAAATGTGCTGTTGGTGTCCAGAGGTGACCTGGCCACTTTTCAAACTCCCTTCTGCATAAGAGAGACAGAAGAGCTCCATACTTCCCAACTACTCACGGGAAAAGAGGTAGAGCTGTTGCACACCAGCTGAGGGCTGCTGCCAATCACCGCTTGGGTCAGTTGATTGAGGGGACGTTCTCACTCCACTCACTGTCAAGTTTCCAAAGGAGATGAGCAAGCAGGTTCCTGCAGTGAGGACAAACAGCTATTCCAGCTGATTGTACCTCTTCAGAGCGAAAGCAGTTATCACGCAGGCCATCACTTTATAATCAATACCTACAGGCTGTATGAAATTAACTCTATATCTGCTATAACAAAAGAAGGCTGCAGTTAGGAAAGATTTTGTTCAGGTGGTAGATGTTGCTGTAGAGGAGTCCGAGTTCTTGATTAATGATATCCCTTCATGATGTTGTACTCTTCATTGTTGGGCACTTCTTTTCTGCTATTTTTTTCTCTTCACTCCTATAGGCCAGCAGGTACTTATTATAATCTCTTAAGTGATATGCAGAACTAATGTTTTCTTATTTTCTCATGAGCATTTTCCACGCCCTCCATGCAGGCAACACCCACTCTGCATTTTCATTCTATGTGGTGTTGTCTTCAGATTGCCTCAATCTACATTATACTAATGGTAAATTAAGTTCAATGCAAGTAACATGTTCCATTGTTAGAAGGTCAGATTTTTCTCTGTTGCTGGGTGTTTTTGAAGCCAACAGTGCCAGCTGAATCACAGTGCCTCTCTCTGGTTACATAAAGCGAATTTGTAACATCTGATGTGCTGCAGAAACCTGGAGGAATCTCCAGCTAAACAATGGGATTAAATTCTAAACCAGTTTTTTTTCTTAGAAAATTACAATCCAAACAATGTGCCTATTCCAGTGGATGACACTGCTTATTATTTGATGTTGAAATGGAAGTTTAAAAAAACCACAAAAGCAGGTAATTATGATGTAGCCTGTCCAAAGGGCATGCTTTTCAGGTTCTTTTTTTTTGTGTGTATTTGTTTTTTGGTTTGCCTTGTTGTTTTTTTTACTTTGCCTATTTAGGCAATGAATGCTTTGCATTCCGTCATATAAAGATTTGTACCACTTTCTGATTTATACTGCATGCTAGAAAGTACTCCATTATCAAATATAGCATACACTTTTTAATTCTATGAAGTTCTTTTCCTCAATGGTATGTACCAGCAATGCATTTCATAGCTTGCTCATAACAGACTGAATAAAAAAAAGAAACCCTTTTTGGAGGAAGATAATTAGTCCTTCTGACATATTGATTGATGAAATACTAGTAGTATTAAATACCTCTGTAAGTGAGGCGGTTGCATGGGATGAAATTACTTTCCAATTTACTAATCGTGACAGAAACATAGAGTCTCAACACTAGAAGGAACCTCAAGTCATTTGATTTATTTATTTCTCTGTCCAAAGAAAGAAGCAGCTATACTTAAGTCATTTCTGATGAATATTTGTGTAAAGGGTACTTAAAGACCTCCAGTAATGGAGACTCCGTAATCTTCCCAGGCACTCTAGTCTGATGCTTCATTGTCCTTCCAGAAACTTTTCCTCCTGTCCACCCTGAACCTTCAGTTTGACAATCAGCTTAAAGTTATATATAGAGGCCATGATCTAATCACTTTTTTAATTATAAATTTTCAGTTAACTCACCTGCAGCCACATAATTGCTCGAGCTGACCTAAAGGAGGTGGTGGGAGCCTGTGTGTGGGGGTATGGAAAATGGTGGAACTGTGCTTCATATTTTCAGACTATTATTTCTCTTCCTGTCCACCATGGGTATGAAGAACAGTAGCCACTTTCCTGTTTTCAGCAATTCTGTATCACACTCCTTCCTCGGTTTCTTGTACTTTAAACTTAACAAAATGAATTTTCTCAGTCCTATCCTGCATTTCCGACCTTTGCACCGGACTCGCTTTGCTCCATTTGGTACCTGTCATGTCAAAATGGGAGTATCCAAAACTGAGCACAATAAATAGTAGAATCCTCACCCGTGCTGGGCTGAGTGGAGAGATTGTTTCTAAGTACTGGAGGCCTAAAACACAGGTGATGGCTGTCTTTTTGTAATTTATTTAGGGACTCTGAAGTCCATACAAAAGAACATGAGGTAAGTGCTGGAAATCAGGTCATTGGCCTGTTTTTTCACCTTTAAGCAGGCTTCGAACCCAGACAAGGGGAGGAGTGTTGGCCTTGGCCTCCTCAGAAAGGGTGGGCATGCACTAAGAGGTTTTGTACCAGAGTGGCTGCTCTGTGCTAGTCCTGCCTCTCAGAGGTGTTGTCTGGTAACACTGGAACTGTTAACTCACATTTGGTTTGATTCACAACAGTCCTTGAGCTGCTGTCTGACCAGCTCTTCTCCTCATGTTTGCATTCTGAGCTCATCTTTCAATGTATTTACAGCCATTCCTGGCTTGGTGTTGCCTTCAGATTTAGTAAGCATACTCTTGGATCATCCAGGTCATCGATTGTAATGGTGTCATACCTAGGCCAGACACCTACAAAACATCCTTTGATGCAGCCTTCCACTTTGACAACGAACAAGTTACAAGTATTTTCTGAGAAGTGTTCTTTATAAACATGCGTGCATTGTTCCTGTGGAATTTTAATGCAGACAGTACTATGAACAAAGTTGCATGAATCAGTATCAAAAGCCTTACTAAAATAGAGATATGTGATATTTAGTGTCCCTCCTCTAACCCCAAAGCCTGTCAGCCTGTGCTACATGGAGATTTGTTCCTGATTGGTACGTAATGGCTGTTACTTACCTCTTTGTTTTCATCTAGGTGCTTATTATTTCCAGTATTTTCCTGGGAATTAAAATTGATGGGACACATCTGTAATTCTTTAATGCCAACTGTCCCACCCTCTTATGGCTGGATACCATGATTGCCTTTTTCAGTTTTCAAGTATTTCACTTGCCTTCCACTAGTGCTTCTTGAACCACTTATAGCTCTGAAAAATCTTGTCAGTTTTTAAAGTACTCTAGAATGAACTTTATCGTTTATGGCTGATTTTAAAATTCCAGCCTAAGTACTGGCTGACCTTTTGCTTCTCTGTAAAAAACTGAGGTCTTGCCCCTTTGTCATTGATATTGATTGTGCAAGCCCCTGCTTGCGGTTGACATTTTGGTTAAGACTGATGTAAGAAGACATTAAATAAGTTTGCCGTCTGAGCATCATCTATCAATTGCATTCTTGGTTGAATGCAATACCAGCCTCTTTATTCATTGTCTTCCTACCACTCATATACTTATAGATTATTTCATTTTTAGTTACATCCCTTGTTAGTTGCTCCTCGTTTTTCCTTTCTGATTTTGTCCCTCTATACTTATGTTTTCCTTTTGTCTTATTTCAGTCTTTTATATGTTCCCTTCTTGTGCGTGAGACTTGTGGAAATTCACGATTTAAACAGACTGATTTATTAATTAAAAAAATAACTGTAAAAGTAATAACGATTTCCCGATTCAATCATTTTATTTTCTGTAGGATATGTATATAAAGTTATAAACTTTATATAATTTTGTAAGTTTTCCTAGGATGTTAATGGCATGAACTACTGCTGGTTTAAAATATTCTCAAAGCAATTGATTAAGAATGAGATGGAACTGTAGTATTTGGCCAGTTTGGCAATACTAATGGTAACAATCTCCTTTGAAGTCTTGTTTTACCAGTTGTGGTATTATCAAACCATTACATTAATGGTTCTCAGTCCCTCAACATATTAATTAGATATCTGAAGCTTGGTACCTACTTAAAACATAAAAAGCCAAGATGACAGTTAACCAAGCTGTTTGGCTTGGTGGGACAACCCTTCTCTCTGCAATCTCCTTTAAAGTCTTGTTTTACCAGTTGTGGTATTATCAAACCATTACATTAATGGTTCCCAGTCCCTCGACATATTAATTAGATATCTGAAGCTTGGTACCTACTTAAAACATAAAAAGCCAAGATGACAGTTAACCAAGCTGTTTGGCTTGGTGGGACAACCCTTCTCTCTGTCAGTCTCCTCTTCTACTGTGTGAAGGTTTTTGTCTTCTGTTCCTTACTGGGGATAAGTATTTCGTCTGGAAGAAAAGACTGTAAATTTTGCTATGAACTCACAACCACATCTCCCATGATACAGTAGATAAAATATCACTGAGATGGCTCCAAAGTAGTATCTTTTTGACATGTGACTGAAAAGATATACTGTGATTAGTGAATAGATTATAAAGAAAAGACCATAAATTTTGCTGTGAACTCACAACCACATCTCCCATGATACTGTAGATAAAATATCACTGGGATGGCTCCAAAGCAGTATCTTTTTGACATGTGACTGAAAAGATATACTGTGATTAGTGAATAGATTATAATTTGTGAATTTTTAATCAAGGATATAAATAAATAGGTTTGAAAAAAAAAATTAGGGTGTTTTGGCATTGATTTTGTTCATCATATGATGGAAATATGTTTGAAAAAAAAATAGAGTATTTTGGCATTGATTTTGTTCATCATATGATGTATTCAAGCTAATGTGTGCCAACAGAGGCTCTTGTGTTTTGCAAAAGCCCCTGTGCCTTAGGTACTACACATATCTAGGAGAAAAATAAAAGTTTGTATGGTGTCTTGCAATACTTTAAGTCAGTCTGTTATGATTACTGCTTTAGTAACTTACTGTGGGGAAAAAGAATACTAAGTTTAATCATACAGCTAATGTCACGATGTCACCACCCCCTTTACAGCTAAATGATAAAAGTGAGGACACACCAGCATGAATTGTTAAGGTCTGTACATTATTCATTTAAACATCTGCTGTTGGTTCCTCTTTACATATGGGAATAAATTATACCACATCAGCACATTCTTCATGCTTTGTGTTTAAGCATTTAAAAGTTTTTTTTTGTATTATTAATACTATTTTTTCTGCTTGGTTGGCAGCCCCTGAAGTTTTCAGTGCCTATGACTACAGCCAACAGTGTGACATTTGGAGCATAGGTGTCATTATGTACATGCTGTAAGTAGCTTGTAAAAGTAATATAAAATGTACAGACCCATTTATAATACAAGTGCTTACAGTTTTGCAGTGAAATAAAAAATAAACCTGTGTGCTAAACTTTCACAAAAGCCTGAACTGTTACAATTGCTTGCGTGTAAACATTACAAATTTCTCTGCAAAATAAAGTAAAAGAGACAGTTCAGTGTTAAAAATCGAGTATTTGATTTGTGAAGCACTTTATAATCCTGAAATAACAGGATTATAATAACAGTTACAGAATATTGCAGTGTAACACTTTAAAACTAAACTGAGAGTTTAGGCCTCTCTTTTTCATATGTTGGCTGGATCTATATATGAGAACTAAGTTATTGATTTACAGGTTACTGGTCAAGTCCTCCAACGGATTGAACAAACCATGCCATCAAGGTAAGGGCTTTTCTTTTTCACCTCTGCCTGTCGTGGTTGTGGAGATATTTGGGGGCTGTACAGGTTATCTACATCCTTTGAAAGTTCATTAGTCTGACGTTATTAGAGGAAGAAATGAAATTTTACATTTGTAAGGTTACATGTACATTTTTTATTGAAGTCTTCCATCATTTCTAACATTGATCTTAGTTACAAATAAATAATTCGTCTCTGAAAAATCTTATCCTGCCCATACTAGCTAAATAATATAAAAAGGTCCCCCAGCAATTAAAAATCAATTGTAGCAAAGTACATAAATTACCATTCATATGATGCAACTAAAATGTCACGCTCTGTGCAGGAACCTTTTTTACTCTCATATTGTATTAGCTTGCAATTTTTTCCCCACTTTCAGTCTTTCACTTGTCCCCAGATGATGCTTTCGTGCCAATGTTTTAGAACATTACCACTTGCCATTTCATTTGTTGTTATTATTTTTGTCCTGTGATTGTTTTACTTCTGTTGCATACAGCTGAGTTCTTTTATAACTTCAGACTTTGTGCGTGAGCATGCAGACACAGGCACACAGTTTCATAACCTCCTCTTTTCCAGATGTTCTTTGGTTTTGTTCCTCAGGGTTTTTTTTTCTATACAATTAGCTCACTTTTCTTCTTGTGTCAGCATGATAAAGTGTTCATATCTTTAGTGCCTTTATTTTTTTTTAATTTCTAAAATCCACGGGTACTTTTTATGCTGATACAGAATGAGTTTTATTGTTGTACTTCGCGATATTAATGTTTGTATCACAGTAGCAGGATTTGCACAACATAATACAATAGAATATATTATAAAACGGTTGGTAGAAATTGGATGGCTCGACTGGCTAATAAGAATCCAGAGCAGTGCCTGCAATCAGCACAATTCACAGCTCAGAACTTGTGAAACTCAGAACAGTGAACTGTGCTGATTGCAGCCAGAGCTTAGAACTTCTGATCTTCCTTAATTAGCAATATAAATATTTTTTAAAATTAGCATTTTGTAATCACAACAGTGTCAGGAGAAAGTAACATTAATTCACCCCTTGTTGTGTTGACTACGCAAGAATGAAAATAGTGCGCATGAATTAATAGAATACAACTCACACTCCTTTTTATTGCTTAATTTTAAAATAGTAGTACAGAAGCCGCAAGATCACCTCCTGATTTTAATTCCGGTTTTGCAAATTACTTTCCTTCACACCCTGAATAATAGCTTGTGCTCCTCTAATGGGTTTAAAGGTACTTCTTACAGCCATTATTGCTACCATCACAACTTTGACCCTTCTGGGCTACAGCTAATGCCTCCCTGGCAATTTGCTAGCTGCCAGAGCTTTCCTCGGTGCAGATGGCATGCTCCATCTTGGTACCAAGGGTATTATTGCCACGACAGGCTCAGTCTCTACCTATATGGGGAGCAGAAGCCCTGAGGTGACTCATGAACTCTGTTTTCATGAATGTTAATGCACAGGGTCGCCTCTGCATAACGGGGCAATGCCAGCGTGATGGATTTTTATACCTAATTTAAACTGAGGTCTACTTTATACTTTCCGTTTCATTTCTATTTTAACTTATACTAATAGAAACATACACAATAGTAACCGGCAAAAAGAAAATCCGTTACAATGCAAAAGTATATCAGCACATTGAAAGAGTGGACTAGGGAGAGCCTTGCTGTCTGTCACACTCAGTGAGTGTGTCCCATACGCTGCTCTCTAATAGCAAAGGGTCAGGGGCTTCTTTTTCCTGTGCAATCTAAGCTATTGCATTTCTTGCTCATTCTTCCAATTGGGCTCAGAGACTCTGGCCCCCGCAATGGTTCTCAAAAACCTTTGAGCAACTAAAGAAGTCTAGGATGCCTAATAAATTACTTCCTGCATTGCAGCAGTAAGAAACCTATTAAGAAAATGAGCTACTTTTTGCTCCTTTCTAAAGGCACAGATTTTTTTTTTTTTTTCCTACAGATTTTCAAGGTTCTGCATGATACGTTTCATCTACTTAACTTGATTTCTTTAGCTGAATTTATCTGTTGTCTGTCACTGCCTTAGTCTGGAGAGAACTTAGTCCTATCAGTGCATTACAGAATAATGGGCATTGTCACCAGGCAACACTTAGAGTATCATGTCCTGAAATGAGCGCATTCTTCCAATTTTCTGTTCTTTAAATTGAGTTCCATGTGGATTTAAGACCTGAGGGAGATTTGGAAGGAGAATTGGGGGATAAAACAAAGCAGCAATTTTTGTTTAAGACATTTTGAAATTAAAAGTTTTGGGGAAAATGCAATTAAATATTAATTTTATGTTTTACCTTAAAATTAAATATTAAAACCATGTGAATGAAACTCCAGAATATTTCACTTTGATATAAAGTGACAGGCATCCTTCACTAGGATGTGACAATTACATTTTCAGTAGCTACCTCTGTGTTTTGGGAGTAGAACTAAAAACATAGTTTGATGCAAATAATTTATCTGATGAAGTTGGTTTCTTTTTTGTTTAATGGCCACAAATAGGTGTATTAAGTTCTTGAAAGTATTTGATATGTAATTTTTGCATGTCAGCTTTGTATAAATAGTATGATGTAAAATCTATTAGAAATTCAATCTGTTTTTATTAGTTTTGATTGAAAAAACAGATGACTTGATATGGTTTTTCATTTGTTATGTGATTAGCAGAGCACAGACCAATACTTACTCTCAAAGTATATTCTCTAATAAACATATATAGTTGATGTTTCTGGCTAATATTTCTGTTGGTAAACAGTAATAGTCACTGAAACCAAATACTAAGAAAATTAAAACAGTAGGTTTGATATGAAACAAATTTTTTAAGGAATGCGTTTGTTTTAGTTTCATATGTATTACCCTTTTTTATTGTTACCACATCATTAAGAATAGAACCGACACAAAAAAAGCAGATAATACAGAAAGAGTAAATTGAATTTACAGACATTCAGACACCACATTTACTCAAATGCTTTACTCAAAATAACAAGAAATAGATACAGAACAAGAATGCAGTCAAAGTACATTTTTATGAACCTATGTGCTCTTAATATGCATACTTATGGATATGTCTTAAAATATTTCTGACATCTTTGCTTTCTTATACTTTTATCTTCTTTATACTGATACCTTAGTTTAAATTAGGCCAAATAAGGCAATGTTCACACTATATAGCTAAAGTAGATGCACATAGAATATAAAGTGAAAAATTAAAAATGATGTTTTATCATAGTATTTTCTGCTTTATGTTTTTATTCTGAAAAATACATCTTTTGTAGCAGTAAAAGCATATTATGTACTTCTGGAACTGAGTTTATCACATTTTGAACAGCAGTACGCTTGACTTTAGGGACACAAGGAACCACTATGTATGGATAAACTGACTTCTTATATAAAATAAGGCTACAGAATAAAATATATCTAGTAATTCTTATACTGAGTCAATGACCTGTGTTTGAAACAAACACTGTTTTTTTAGAAAGTGGGTCGGGACCTAAATGTCTACATTGAGAGTGGTCTGTTCTGTCCTGTTGCTGTTGTTTCAGGTCTTGTGATTGTTATTCACTCAGTGGAGTTTTGGCTAACTAGTTTAAAAAGTGAGACAGGAATTAATGATGGTTCTTATTACTGAAATGGACTGGTTGTTAGGACAGAATTGTTGAATTGTTTAACAGAAAATACTACTTTGACATGAAATAAAAAAGGAAACTGTATGTATAAAGTGTTTTCAGTAAACAAAATCTCTGTTGTGGAAATACTGCATGCGCTGGCAACAGGTTAGCTTTCAGTCAGCCAAGTGATCTGGATAAGTGAGTTACAGAGTAGCAGAATACTGTATTTTCAGTTTAATACTATATTTTCAGTTTAATATTTTTCTAGCTTCTATCTTCAGTTGTTGTATCTTGTTAAACCCTTGGCTGCTACTTTAAAAATCCATATAATATCAATTATCTTTTCCTTATGTGGATACCGAGTGATCAAGATTAAATCACCTTTTAACCTCATAAACTTTTCCCTTTAAATCTCTCTGAGACACATTTTTCAGAATTTGAGTCACTTTTGTACAGTTCTTCTGAAGCTTTCCCAGTCCTGCGAACTTTTTGATTTCACAGTGATCCCATAGAACATAGTTTTTTCCCTCACCAGTGAAAAATAGTAGGTATCTGTCACTGACCCTAATTTTCTTATACCTTTTCTAGCAAACTTAGAAAAAAAGCTTTTTGAACTATTAAGAAAGGGAGGCCTGTGCTTTAACAATCTGATCTGGGAAACAGTGTGGCTTCTAAGTACACAATGCTCTCACAAAATAAATGTTGACAGGATTGCAATGAATATTGCAACAAATTCTACAAACTTAGTAGTTTACATTTTTTTTTCTTGTTTCTAAGTAATATGTGCTTTCTGAAAAGCAAAACTGATGTTAAAAAATAAATTGGCATAAATGATATCATGAGCTAATTTCATAGCATTGTAAGTAAAATATTCTCTGCTGAACTAAAGCACTCAGTTGAAAATGTGTCTAGTTGTTGTTAGCAGAAATGAGATGGATCAAACTGTGTTTTTTTCCTAGCAAAACAA